ATCTCCCTTTGCCTTCATTTATTCACCTATAATGATAATAAAACTTACTCAACAGAAAGGATGTTGTAAGATATCTATGCCAAGTATTTACTAGTACCTGGAAAATTTTAAGTGTCAATAAATGTTCACTTGTGACAGCAGCAATAACATACAAATAATGTAAATGGACTTTGTGGTTTAAAGTGCACTTGACTGGTTGCTGATCTGGGACTGACCCAGCCTCAGCTACTGACTTTTAACACCTTCAATGGTATGATGGGGGTAGAGTTCTAGCTGCAGTTAAGGAATGATTGTAAAGTAAGAAACTGGAAACAGTGATTATAGAAAAATCTATAGGAACTTAACTGTGATAAAAAGGTATGGAAATAGAGGGGATAGTTTCAGAAGTGGGTATAGAGTACATGAAAGGTGTCATTTTGTTTCAATGAGACATAGACGACTTACAGTCTGTAGAGGTAAAGGATAAAAGAACGGAGATAAATGGAGCTGATGAAACGTTAAATGCAGAAGATATGGGAGGAATTTAGATCAAAGCATGAGTACTTTCAATGGGAGAGAAGAATTAGTGTTCCTCTGAAATTTGGAGGAAGACAATAAAGTGCAAATATAGGTACTTACTCAGTTGATGATGAGAAGTTTAGAGATTTCACACTTGATATTCTCAATTTTTATGTGAATTTCCACTTCCTCATTTCTGGAGGAGACTGAAAAAATACATTATTTGAAGAAAAGTGTGAACTTTTGGAGATAGAAAATTCACATATACAGCAAAGGTTTTACAAATAAACCATAGACACAGTTGAACTCACAGACCATGGACTCCTAGTAACACTAGTCTGCCTGATAATTCACTTTCTTCCATTACTCTTTATTCACCCTGAAGTAGGCTGCTGGTCAAACTGATTTAAGAGGAGAAAGTTCCAGGAGTTGTGGAAGGACAAAAAAGTGATAACCGTGTGACCACTGTGACATCTGTAATGGAAAAGGAAGGGACATAAGCTTGAAGTAATGAGAGCTGAGAGGGTGTTTGTGGAGAGGGGGCTTATAGAACTGAAAATTCAATGATCTCAAAGAATAGGTCTTAACTGAATGAGAAAGTGGTGGGAGATTATGCTCAGAAATATGCAAATTAAAGGTTATGCTTCCAGAGCTACAGTGTGTCCTTAAGAGAAATGTCCCCATAAGCCAAAAGACTAAAGTGTGGTTCTGGAATTGAATTGATGCTGTGAGACGGTTCAAAGATGGATCAGAATTATTCATGCCTAAGACCCTGAAGAAGGATGTTGTTGAACGTATCATCCACATGAACACTGAAATTCATAGAGGAGCAGAAAGTTGAAGTTAGAAGAGATAGACTAGATACCTACAGCCTCGTTTATGTTCAGCAACAAGGAAAGATAGAGTGTGTACTATGTATAGATGCATGCATATCAGTTGAGTAAGAGGTTTTGCAAAGTTGATTCAAAAGTGACCTGGAATCAATAAGGTTAGCAGGAAAAGAAAAAAAGATTTTGAGAGCAAAGTACATGCATTCTAAGCTGTGTAAGAAAAAAATGATTAATACATTATTTTAAGGGAGTTGCAATCTTATGATAATATGTCTGAAGTTAAAGAGTTTAAGTTGATTTTGTGCTTAAATTTGCATATTCACTGGCAAATGTTGTGATATAAAAAGGGTCAAAAATTTTTGAGCATTATAAAAATTTAAATAATTATAATAGTTATACTGTACTAAGATATATATGTGTGTGTTTATATGTGTATGTATGTATACATATATATATATATATATCTTCAAATAACATTTGATTAATGTTCTTCTCACTTAATGAATAAGGAAACCTGAAACTGAGGGATTAATTTTTTTCAAAATCAGACCTGACTTTTGAGTCCACCTCTATCTAAAACACAAAACAAAATAGAAGCAAAAAAAGTAAATTTAAAATTATTAAAAGTAAGAAGCAAATAGATGTGTATACACTCTTTGAAATGCTCACTTTTCACACCTAGAACCAAATTTAAATTCTTCTATTAGTTTAGTCATCAGTACATTTGGTGTGACTTGGCATATATTTAAACATGTCATATTCTTGTCATTTATTTGATAAAAAGAACATTTGGTTGTTAATTGGATATCATTTTAATGTACATACCCAATATTAATCGATCACATCTTGTATATAAGTTTTAGTCTTAAACCACGTGTCTATTGAAAATTCAATAGGCTCAAAATGACATTCATTGTTTAACTTACTAGTATTCAACTATATACAGTAGGCAGAGATGGGGGAAGTTTGAAAGAATGCTAATGACCTTGACACCATCCCTGAGGAATGTTTTCTGAAATGAGACTTTTACAATTCCGAAGAGTATCAAGCCCATTCAAAGAAATAGAAATTTAATGGAGTCCTTACTGATCATATACTATGACTACACGGTTTTATATTTTTGAAAAAAAAGATATAGTAAAGATGCTTTTTAAAGCCCTGTGTCTTATTTTTGACAATTTGCTCCAAATGTACTATGAAAAATCATAACAGAAAATAGGTATGTATGAGTTATGACTACCAATTCCATACCCAATCTTTTTCATTAAATCATTCTTTATTTCAGGAAAGATATATTAAAAAAGCACCTTAACCTGTTAACATAGAATATGATTACTTTGTAGTTATCTTAATTTAAAAATTTTAGGACTAATGCAAAGTGAAATTACTTGTTTGTTGAAGTTGGAAGTTAGTCAAAGAACTGGGCAAAGAAACATTATGTACCAAGCATCATGTTGATTTCATTGTAATCTCATATATAAATGTAATTCCATTGTTACAGGGTTTATTTTAAAATTTAAAGGTTTAGAATATCGCAACACAAAACTGAGTAAAAGTTAGACAGAAAACAGAGCATATATTATGATCCCAATAATATAAAGTTTAAAAATAGGTATAACTAATCAATGGTGTTAGAAATCAACATAGTGGCCTGGGGAGCTGAGTATGACTGAAAGGGCATGAAGGACATTCTGGGATACTGGTAATGTTTTATTTATTTTTTTGGTGCAGACACTGGCCAAATGAATGTGTACATTTTGCAAAATTGTATTGAACTTATGATTTGTACATTTTTGTGCATATTTGTAGGCCTCAATAAGTTTGTACTAACAGTAAAAAGTTTATTTCAGGAGAAATGCCTATGTTAATCATAAGTGAAAGGATAATATTCAACCAAACCTTTGACTAATTTGGCTTTAGTCCCAGATTTGCTCATAGTACAAAAGATATGTCTTTGATTCATTGGTTAAACTCTGATTTTAATTTAAGCTGGGAATGTGCTTTTTATTTCTTATGCTATACTTTATTAAATGAATAAAAATCTTAAGTTCAAAGCTTAAGAAGAAACACTTTGATAACTATTTTTTCTTTGTTCTTTTTTTCCTTTTTGTGATAATGTGACCTAATGTTGAAATCTAATTACTATTCTTCTAACACCAAAACTAATTTCTGCCATTATGTAAACCATGCAGACCATCTAAAAGAGATGAGCTTGTCCTATTCTAAAGCTGAGAACTTTAACTTGTCCTATTCTAAAGCTGAGAACTTTACCTTATTAGAAAATTCAAGAAATATTTTATCCTTAAGTAAAATATCTGGTTTTTTATTTTAAATTACCTTGTCTAACAGGTGGATAGAGTTACGCTGAGATGTTTTAAATGGTGAAGTACATGTACAGAATCTGAAGCTAGTGAGTCAAGATCATGTTAAACCTTAATACACATTTACAATTATTGTCATTACTTATATCCCAACTTTACAACTTATTATGTAGCCTTTGGCTATTTACATTTAATTAAAATTAAATTTTAGTTCCTTAGTCACATCAGCCTCACTTCAAAGTTCAGTAGTCATGTGTGGCTCATGCATACTGTATTGGAAAGAGCACATTTAAAGCATTTCCATCATCACAAGCTCTATTGAACAGGACTAATTTGCATAATTAAAATAATATTCCTCCAAGTGTTTAATTTTATTACATAAGATTATTTTTTAGAGAATTTTTCGCATTGTAATGGCAAATCGTAAATTCTTGATACATGATATTTAATAATAATATCTTTGGTAAAAGTAAGAATAACCAGATAATGATAATTATAATAATTATTATTAAAATATAAAACTTACCTAGTATCATGAATAAGGTGTATATAGCTTTCTATAAATTCACTAAGACTCCCCTTATTTATTGTTTGTCTTCCAAATATTTCACTATGAAATAATTCTCAAGTTTGCATTCTGAAGAATATCTCTAAGTAACAGCCGTGAAGCTGATAAAGGCTAATATGTCATGCTCACTGCTTTATATTTTTTAAAAGAAAACATATTCTAAGCAAATATTTATATTTTTTAATTCTAAATTTTAAGACACCCAACATCTAGATCATAAGTACCTACAAACAGGAACAAATCTGGCTTATCAGGACACAGGATAATGAGAACAGAAGCTGCATTACAATATGTTCATATATTTTTAGATTAATGGAGTAAAAGCTCTGAACTTTATCTTATTTTCATTTGAGGTATTTTAATGCATTATTTTATTTCTTCCCCTTTAGGAAATAGGTCAGATAAAAAACACAAACAAATACTATGTCTATTAGGAAAGACAATAGTTAGGTAAATCAATCCTGTCCTTAAACTAGTTTGAACAGCCCAGAGTTGAACCTATCAGACATGCCAATCAAAACACTTGATTCATTGACTAGACTCTGTTAATGTCTCTGCCCTTTTATTCATAGTTCATAGTTATTATCAGTCTAATAACAACAATTTAACCTGCGGACACAAATGTCTGTAAATCTACATACATAATAATAAAAAAAATAGACTCCTAGGAGGGCTTTATTGTGTTTACACACAAGAAAAATCAGTCTTGCAAATAGAAATAAGCCCTTTAATAAAGGTTATTATTTTCCCTCTTATTATTAACCTGTATTTTTTCCCTCCCAGGCTACTGATAAAGATACTGGCAATTACAGTGCCATGGCATACAGACTCATAATACCACCAATTAAAGAGGGAAAAGAAGGATTTGTGGTGGAAACATATACAGGGCTTATCAAAACTGCTATGCTCTTCCATAATATGAGGAGATCCTACTTCAAGTTTCAAGTCATCGCAACTGACGATTATGGGAAGGGACTAAGTGGCAAAGCAGACGTACTTGTAAGTACATAAATTTTACATTATTTATTTATTATTTTAAATATATTTTTTATTCAAAATTTTAAAATGCTTTACAGAATCATGCTGCAGAAATTAAAATGTATGAAATTTTTATCATTGTTCAAATCACTGTTAGGACTTATGTAATTAAGAAAACAAAAGGATATGCTTTGGAATAAATTTATGTTCCAGTAGATTTGATTTCCTTGTTTTAGCAAAATCCTCATTGATAATCCTTGATTAAGTTATATGTGGCTTCAGTCTATAATATCACTTTTCTATTAAGACGTCTACTTGGGTTGTACACAAGGTCAATGGTAGCTTATTCCCAAGGACAGTTTGATATCAGCTTTTATTCAAAATATTCAACAACAATGTATCTATCCTGTGGAATCTCTAGCAACTTGAAAGTGTGGATTATTTGGGCTTTACCCCAATGAATCTAATAATAAAATTATTATTGTAAAAACTTGTCATATAAAGACAGAATCAAGTATAATTTTTCTTTTGCTGTTTGCATCATATTTGATCTTCATTTTCACCGTTCTTCTCATTTAGTTCTCTGGACTAGGACTAGTTTAACCTTCTGTATGTGTAGATATCAATGATCAAATGTTTTTCTTCTTAGATTGTGGTGAAGACCAATCACTGTGACTGTGGTGGGTGTGATGGCCAGACCATTCCCATCATAACAGTAAAGATATAATAGAATAAAAAAGCCCAATCTAAGCCAAAGAGCCTTTATCATAGAATATATTAAGGTTAACATAGACTTTTGATTAAATTAAGATCTATAAACCTTCTGAAATATAATGTGGTCATTTCTCTTCCTGTTATTTAAGATATGCACATTGTGGTGCTTTAAGGCTAAACAATAATGGCACTACACTCTGTGTAATTAAAATAATAAAAAAACACAAAATGTAACTTGATTATATGTGTAATATATATAAGCAATGTAAAGTTTAAGTGTTTCTTACTTGAACTCTATGAACTATTGTGCAGAAATTAAAAAGCATACCTTTAAAATTATCCAAAATATATTGAGAAACATTCAATTTGAAGTAATCATAATGGTATATATGTATAAATCATAGTATATACATAAGGAAACCTTCCTAGCAAAATGATATTTATGATAAGATCTAAAATCCTTTCAGTCAAGAACAGGGACATATGAAGAGAAATAAGACTTTTATACAGAGGGACCAACATATGACAGAACCAAGAAGGAAGTGACATGATGACAGGCCTGAATGACACAGATATTTACACCACCTGGAAGAATGAAGCAAAAATGAATGAGAGACAGGACTAGAGTTGGAAGTAGGTGGTTCATGTAAAAGCTTTCAGCCATATTAATAATATTGAAACCTTTTCCTCAGGGTAACAGGAAATCACTGAAAAAATTTTTTAGTAAACATGAGTGAAGATAGATTTTTAATTTAGATAAAACCTTCTTGCTTAGTGCAAATATGATTATCCCCTGAAGATATTATTTCCACTGCTGCCTTCTCAAGCAGTGGCTTTGTTTGCATTCTTCTCTGATTTTGTTTGCCACTGTCTTCATATTATCCACTGGCAGAGGAGGATCTTCGAGGCACAACATTGCTGCTTCTAGACCTTTCTTCCCTTCCTCAGAATCCCACCTGTATTTTCACCTCTTTCTGTCTCCAGTAACTCCCCTGTCCTAAGCGTTGGCAATGTCATTACATGCATATGTGATTCTTCCAATATGCTGAAATCCAAGTTCCTTGAATGCATTTACTTCAATGGTTTTACCCTTCACCCTGTTGCAACCATTTAAGGCCAGTGTTATTTTTGCCGTATCTATTACTACCACCCCTCTAAGTCTTGCATTTCAATCCTCCTACTCTTTGAATATGATACTGAAAGCATCCAGCTGTCCCCAGCACTCTTTTGTCTCCCCCGGGACCTTCAATTCATTTAGCTTACTATATTTCCATTCTGTCCCTACAAATCCTGTTTTCTCTTTCCTGCTTACACACTGTCTAGTGCATCAGCAACTATTATAAACACTCAACCACATACAAATTCATCTTGTTTGCCCTCCCTCCCTATAGCATACTTGACAAAACCATAACTCTAATTCCAACTTTCTCCTTTCTTGAGACCAATACCCAGTCTGATTAGCCTTACTTCAAGTCAATAATGACAGCCCCCAACTGTGCTTCCTGTCCTATCCTCACACTTCTCCTCACCTAGACAGCTCCACTTTTACAATCCTCCATCTCCTCATCCTCACTGTTGCCTAATTAATTGACATCTTATTTCACTGACAGATAAAATTAAAGTATTTTAAAGAATACTTCCACAACTCCCACCAGTAAATCCATCTACCCACCAGAATTTATACCAATATGCTTTGCCTTGTTTTTGTTCATTTAGATGACTTCTCTATACGTTTATCTGGAGCCATTACTTTGATCTGTGCAACAGATACAATTCCCATTCACCAGCTTGAAGACATTGTTCCAGCAGCCCTCCCATTTCTTTCATATACTATCAATATTAATCTCCCCCCCTTATTTGATTATTTCCATAACCCAGCTTTTCTTTTTCCTTTCTGTCTTCAAAAAATAATTTAAAAACCCTCTTGACCTACATCTTCAGTTACTACTCCATTTCTATGTTCCTCTTTCCAGAAAAATTCATCATTAAAATGGACTCTAATTTCTCACCATCTAATCTCTCTTAAACGTTCTCTAATCATAGCTCCACACCCAACACTTATCCAAAACTGCTTATGTCAACATCATCAATGACTTCCATGTTACTAAGTGCACTGGTAATTTGTTGTCTTCTTATTTGAACAATCAGCAATATTTGACTGATTATTGCCATTACTAAGATTTCAGGCCACCATTCTGTCTTGTTTATCTCTAATCTCACTGCTCTTTCCTTCTCACTCTCTTTTGCTGGTTCATTTTCTTTTCTTAAACTTCTAGTATTGATGTGTCTCAGGGCTCAGCCATTAATTCTCTTTTCTGTCTGCCCTCACTGACTCTGTAATTTCATTCAGTCCCATAACTTTCAAATATCATCTATTCACTAAAAATGTCAAATTTATATTTTCACTCCACAGCTCATTCCTGAACAGCAAATATATATCTATGTGTACATGCAACAATTACACTTGCATATCTAATAAAGACATTTATTTAATGTTTCCTAAACTGAACTCCTCTTCGTCATCATGTCTTTGCCATCTATAGTCTCCCCAATCTTCCCAATTTCACTTGATGATGAAATCATCTTAGAGATCCTAGGCCAGAAGTATCTTGATTTCTTTCTTTTCCAAGCCACATATTCAACCTCTCATTTAAATACTTCTGTGTATACAAATATACATATATATATATGTTTGTTATAATATGTGCTATATATATGTTATCTATTTATTAAGTACTGTTGTGTGTATATATATACATTATAATGTATGCTATATATATATATACACATACACACATATATACATGTGTGTTATCTGCACATTTTTAACTATTGTTGCAACATCGTTGAAACCATCATCATATTTTACCTGTATCACTGCACAAACTCATTAACTTGGCCCCATGCTTTCACTCCTGCCCTACTGAAGTCTGGTTTTAAAAGAGCAGCCAAAGCAACCCCATAAAATGTAATTCAGATCCTGTTATTTCTCTGCTCAAAATCTCCTGATATCACCCCAATTGTTTCAGAGAACTTCTTATATCATTACAGAGGATTATGAGGTACTGGGTAATCTGGCCTCCAATGGCCTCATTTTCTACTCTTTTTCTCTCTAACTCATTCAAACCCAATAATGTTAGCCACTAGGCTGTTCCTCAAACAACCAGACATGCCCTCACTTTAGAGCCTTCAGTCTCTGCCTAGAATGCTTTTTCCCTAAATATTCTCAGGAATTGTTCCCTCATCTCTTCCATATATTTATAAGGATGTATTTCACAATGAAGTCTACCCTAGCCATCCCTATTTAATATTGCAACCAAATGCCATCACTTCATACCTCGTTATTGTTTTGTTTTTTCAATGAGCTTACGATATTCTTGTTCATTTTTTCCCCACAAAAATTCCATCAGGACAGTTTTTCTGTTTTTAATTAATTTATTTTATTCCCTGATGTTATCACAAGCACCTAGAATTGTATAGTGAGTACTCAATGTCTGTTCATTCAATTAATGAATGGCCCCTCCCCTACATGTTCTTAAAGTGTGGCCCATGCAACCTTAAGGGTCTTCCCTGATCATATCAGGTGTCCATAGGTCAAAGCTCTCTTCGTTAGAATACCGAGATATTGTTTGCCTTTTTACTATGTAACATTTGCACTGCTGTTGCCATTGTATCTTTCATAGCCATGCATAAACAAAAAAAAAAGCCTATTTCAGCCAAGAATGCCCTTACTTAAGCAATAAAAAATTAATTTTAGCAAATCTCCACTCTTGACCAATATTTTTTTGTAATGAAGCAAGAAGTACACATGAAGCATTTTTGCTGTTCTTAGAAGTGTCACAGGTGTCTCAAGAAAAACTAGTATGTAGGTTCAATTAGCTGACTTTTCCATGGAATAGCTTTTTATTTGAAATAATAACTTGGGGAAAAAATATGGTTATTCAGACTTGAATATTTGATATAGATTTACACAAAAACAAATGAAGTGAGGCTGTCAATGCCAGGAAAACAACTGACAGTATTTGATGCTAATGATAACATTCACACTGTCAAGCACAGATTAGAATATTGGAAAGCTTGTATTCACCACTGTGAACTTGACAGCTTCTCATTGCTTAATGATTTCTGATGAGATCAGTGGTCATATTAAAGAATGTGATTTTTTTTCTTTATATCGTGAAATGACACGTGTCAACATTTTTAAATCCACATTATTTAGTGAGCCAATGTTTTCCAAATGACCAATGCAACATGTTAAAAAACCATTCATGGGTAAAAGATTCACTCAAAATGCAAGAAAGATTAATGTCTTTTAATGTAACTAAATATGGTTTTACATTTCACATAAACTAACAACCTTGAAGAAACTATCACGTGGGTTTTGGTGTATCAAAGAAGAGTACATACAAAATTATCTTTTAAAAAGCTATTAAAATATCTCTTCCTTTTCAAGGAAAGTGAGATTGCATCCTCTGATGGCAGGGATCTCTAGAGTTTGCTGCCCAATATGTTAGCTATTTGTTGTATGTGGCAACTGAGAACTTGAAATGTGGCTAGGTTGTAATGAGATGGACTGCAAGTGTAAAATACACACTGGATTTCAAAGACTTGGTTTGAAAAAAATGTAAAATATTTCCTTTACAAGCTGTTATTGATTACTTGTTGAAATGATAATATATGAAATATATTGGGTTAAATGTACTATTGAATTAATTTCGCTCTCTTTTATCTTTTCATTGTGGATACCAAAGAACACATATCTGGCATGTATTTGTGGATCACATTATGTATCTATTATAGGACCTTGTCTAAACTATATGGAAACAAATGAAAAAAAGATAAGAGATTTATGAAGAAAAATTAAAAGAACTTTGAAATAATTATGTAAATCGACAACTTCTGTTTTGGAATTTGTACTTCACAAATGCTAATTCTTTTTCTTTTTGACCATACCTGCTAATCTTAATCCTTACAAAGATTGATCCCAAAAATAATAGGAATATTTTTCAAAAGCTCCCATTAATAATCAATGAATAAAGAGTTAAAAAGTAATTTTATGTACAGAATTTTTAATGTTTGGTATAGTAAACTGATGTGTACTTCTGAAAATTTTTACATAGAGGCTACACCAGAGAAGTAGCATAAATATAATCTAGTGATCTTAAAGAGCTAAATATCTTTCTAAGAGATGACAGAAGAAACTAAAGATTCAGGGATGTAGGAGTTCTTTTAAAGATCAAAATTCAAGCTATGATAGCGTATTCTCTTCATTCACATAGTAAAAAATGTGTATGTTCTGAGTAAATCATGTATTAGCACTTTAAGGAGATTTAAAATTTTTTAAATAACTGTAGGTAAGTCTGAGACACTACTTTTGGAGTTAGATGCAGTCTGACTTTTGTTATTTTATCAGAATATACATACATTATTTTTTGTGAATATAAAAGTATGTTTTCAAAATGTAATACAGATCACAAAATATTTCTTCATAAATTGTAAGCTTAGTATGTGTATATTCCAGAGGACCTTAAATCTTAATTCACTTTTTTGGGTCAGTCAGAATTGAACTCCAAAGCTCATGAACAAATTAAAAATTCCCTTTGAATATGTACTTTATCCTTCTGAATAAAGAAAAAGTACAGACTGTTCTTAAAAGGTAAATGGTAGAGTTATTTATATTTTCAAGGCCAAATTTTGCTTCTAAATAGAGTCCCTAGCAGATGAAGTGATCACATTCCAAAAGTTTACTTACAAATGAGCTTCATATTTATGCAAAAGGAACTTCTGTTATTTCCCTGCATCCATATATAATTAACATGCTAGTTTTTCATTGTCCTACAGTAGAAAAGAACCTAGCAGCCATGTGAAATAGATCCCTGGGTGTTTGTTGTAGTAGGCCGACTATATAACAAAAACTCCAAAATTACAGTGACTTTACCTAACAAATGTTGTTTTTCTCTCATCTGACACAGCAATGAGCACATATGTGAGGGGGTGGTGTTCTTGACAGTCTCCTGCAAGTAGGGATTTCAGGACTCAAACTCTTTCCATCTTGTTCTTTGCCCTTTGCTGTGGCTTATTTATTCAGATAGAGATTGGGAAAGAAAGGGAATATTCACACATGGGAAAGACGTAAGAATATTCCTTCCTTCCTTTCTACTAACTTCACACTGGTCAGAACTCCTGTGTTTCCACCAAACTACAAAAGAGAGTGAGAAATCTATTACTGCTGTGTTCCCAGTAGCAGGATGGAAACATTAGGTGAACTGCCAGCCTGTCCTTGCTGCACACTGTACTTCTGATTACCAATTACCCATTTCATTATTTTCCCCACATAGAGAAGAAAATCTCACCAAACTCAAAGTCCTGGATCTCAGCTGTGCTATGACATGCTGTCCTCTTCATTGGGTTCAGAGGGAACTCTTGGTGGTCCAGTGATGTGACAAATACAGTCACCAAGTATAGACGCTGGTGAAGAAACAGGATATCCAATAGAAATTCCCATTTGAAGAGGGCAAGAATGGTAGATACATGACAGTCACTAATCCAAGCAAATTTTGAAAATTCTACGCATATATAACCTAGTTCCCCAGTTGTAGGGGTGGGGGATTTCTGTAATGAAATCCTGTTTGACTGTAGGGTAGGAAGGCTTTTGTTTGGTTTTCCTCTGTGGCTGCTGAATCTATACCATACTAGATAGTTTTTTGCCCACTTTCATCTTTGTTTACATCTAATGTAAGACTGGGCAAGTGCGTTTTCTTTCTGGTATATATTCCTGGTACCTGCTTTTATTTTGGGATCTGTATAAGTAAGAGCTTTGCAGGGAATTCATGCAAATGCAGATTGGGTAATTCAAGGAGTGTTTAATGGATAGTTTATTTATGAAGGTGTGTGCTGGATGGATGTAGGGAAGTGAGAGATAGTGCGGGACCTTGGGGAGCATGATAGCAGAAGCCCATTAGAGCCTGCAGACCTGAAGACGTGAGAAGCTCATGTTTACCAGGACCAGATGACAGAGAGCTGTGAGAAGAGAAAAACCCAATAGAATTGACAGGCATGGAGATCTTGTACTGAAGGAAGAAGCAATGAGGACTTACCTCTACTCCTCTCCCCTTCACTAGTCTCCTCTTGATGTTCTCTGCTGCTCACCCTGTCCACAATTCATGTCATCACTCTGAGCCTCCCAAACAGATAATAGAATTAGGAATTGCTTCACCCCAATCCCCTGAGATGGTTTCTTTGCCCTGAGGCCATGATTCCAGCACCACTGGGAGTTTTAGCGGTCATTAGATGAAGTCTAATGATAATACTTCTTGTTGAAACAATACTCCGTGGTACTGTTTATTCCAGGCTGTTTACTTTTGGCCAGATTTTTTTTTTAACTTTCCATGGTCCAGTGCTGAAAAAAAGGAAATAAAAATTGGAAAGGAAGGGAAAATAGAAAGATGAAAGGGAAGGTGGAAAGGAGAGAGGAAGAGGGGAAAGAGGAAGGAAGAAAGGAAAAGAAAGAAGGAAAAAGAGAAGAAAAGAAAGAGGAGAATACATAGTTTTACAAATTTCATATACACATTCTGAAGATCATTATCATGTATTTTTACTAGTAATAGCTAAATACGTGTATGTATATAAAATAAAATGCTTTTATATAACCTTGTCTCGGGACCATTAAGACAAAGTCACACAAAGACTGTAATCCTTTTTGTAATGAAGTTAGATCTTTTTTGTGAAGCCCAAGTCAAGATTTATCTATATGTTCAAGGGAAACTTATTCATATGGTCCCAGCTGCCTATGAATTAGAGATATAGGATGGGAACTGCCGGTGTTAACTATTTGCTATTTGCTCCTAGGTGGTAGTCAGACCCCTGGCTTAATATAATCTGCAGACATGAATTAACAGGCTCACACAATGGTTTGAAAGATTTCTAAGTAGTTGAAATATTTCATGTAATGTTTGGGATTTTTTCGAAAGATCCAGCAAATCTGAAGCCTTTTCCCCACATGGCAACATTCATTAGAGATGAGTAGTAGCTGACCTCTTCAGATGAGTCATATACTCTCTGATTTGTCACACTTCCACTTTTCCCTATCATTTCATACTTTTGCCTACTTCACTCATTTAAGTTACCTGCCTGGTCATGAGGTATGGCAACATGATGCCACTCCCTAGCACAAATTATATTCAGATATATGGTGATAAATATACCTAATCCAGAGTATTCAATTCATGGTTCTGGTGCACTGAATTAACACAGTCTTAATAGTGTGTAAAGTATATAAAGGACAATATATAATTTGACTTTCCTTTTTTCATATCTATACTGGGTAAGAGTTAACAGCACATGTTCTAGACCCAGGCAGCGTGCACTAATTGGGTGCAAGATATTAAAAGTCTCTCTGTTTTCTTATTAAAAATTGGAATGAAATTAATAACTACTGATATAGTTGGTAGTTAGATTTAAATGAGTGAAAACCTGTAGAGTATTAAGAAGAAAAAGTAAATGGTACATTGTAAGCACAGAACCAATGCTATTATTTTTCCTCTGTTTTTCTAAATAAGAACTTAGGAATTCAGTAAATGTTAAATGAATAGGATGGATGCATAAACAGCTGTTTCTGTTAGCTCATTTTAGCCCCATGTGTAAGTTTGTATGTATAGATCTCTATTTACACAAATATAAAGTTGGCTGAAGTAGACATAGACTGTATATGATGATATAGAATGAATTGTTTGAAGTAGTCATAGCTCACATTCTTAGTCATAATGAATAAATGGTCTCTTGAGACATAAAATCTAAAGGCTGTGTTTCCATTATCCTGAGTGGTTTTAAACTTTTTAATAATTCAATTTCAAAAATGCCTTCTTCCATGGCTTAGAAAGTAACCAGTAAAACAAACACAAAACTGGCAATAGTCATGTATCTTCGGGTTCTGTAACTTCTAAGCAAACAACAAATTACCCTTTTCAACCTCCCCCAACATTTAGTAGTGGTTGTGTCACTAAAAATATCACTTATTCTTAAATTTAAAAGTGGGAAACCACTGTGTGCACTATGCAGAATAAGGAAGAAAGAGTCATATTATTTTTTGATTATAAAAATATTGGTGAATAAAAGCTAACTGAATTCTGTTTCTTTTCTTCTTTCAGGTCTCTGTGGTCAATCAGTTGGATATGCAAGTCATTGTTTCCAGTGTGCCCCCTACTCTGGTGGAAAAAAAAATAGAAGATCTTACAGAGTAATGGATTTTTGTGTACTTGTATATTTAAATTTGTTTACTTATATATTTAGATTTGTTACTTATGTTTAAGTTTCATATGGATGTAGTTTTATTGGATTGGGTCATTTTAATCATTACAATGTTTGGATTAAACATGTATTTTAAAACACTTTCTTAATAATAATTTAGCTTACTCTTTTCCTAAAATAGATAGCTTCATTTGAAATATGTGAAGTTTCTGATATTGATATTACCTTCAAATAGGAATGAAAAATAGATGGAAGATCTTAGTATTCAGAATGCTTTGATTGCCGCATCAGTATGATCTCAAAATGCTACATATAAGAAATAATAATGGTTATTATTTGAGTATCTGTCTTGATTTTATGGCCCCAAATTATTCAAAAAGCTCATTATCTCAACAATCCAGCTAGTCCAAGGAAAGTGTTTATCAAAGTGATGTAAGTAGATGCCTAAAGCTTATTCCTTACAAAAACCAAGATAATTTTAAACAATATGTATTTTTAATTATTCTAAAATATATGCCATGCCCCTCTACCTTTTGAACAGTTTGCAATGCACATGGCTGAACGTGTTATTGACAAAGTTATAACTGTTAAGCTATAGTTTTGTAATATACTGAATGCTAGCTATCAAGGATTACTTCACTCATAACTACCCTAACGCAGCCTGCCACCATTTCATCATTTTTGTGTTGGTATTTATTTGTTACTTTGTGTCTTCTATTGAGGTCAGGTTGACAGATGTCAATTATCACTGTCAATTTTCTAACACGATTCCCCCACTTATCAGGAAAAGCTTCAGATAGTTAGATAGCTAACCTTTTAGTAATTAAATGTCAAATAAAATGCAATAAGAGCTGATTAAAGCATGAGTGATTCTCCAGTAATAGAAGCATATGGTTTTTGTAATAATTATTTCTCAGTATTTCACAAATTTCACCTTTAAGTGTCACATACTCATATTTTTAATGAATAAGGTGATTCTTAACATGTATGCATGGAATTGCTATCATACAATGTTTTGTTTACTTCTGCAAAAGTTTATGTATGCTTATATGGTTTATATACACTTAACCTTTATCCAAATGATGGCTGAATACATCTGAAAATTTTCAGAATTCTGCCTAACTATCTCTTAGCTGCTTTAATGTTCTCTATTGAGGCAGGCTTTTGCTGATTAGATTATCAAAAGAGATGACACGCTCTTCAACCTGTAACTTATAATTCTGCTTTATTTTTCTTGAAAACATTACCTAATATTTTTATTATATTTCAATCTCCCATTAGAGTACAAATTCCACAAGGGTAGGAATTCCATTTTTCAGTGCTGTGATTCAGTGCTCAATGCATTTTACTGAACAAAAATTTTATACATGTGGAATTGTGATTCCTTTTTCTCAAATTGAGACAATTTATGAAAACTGAAAAATTGCTACATAAAGGAATAACTTCATAACAACTTATGATTCATTCCCTCTTAAGTGAATATGAAGATCTGAGTGAGAAAAATCAAGCAGTTTTCAAGTCTTGAGAGAAATGTATGACTATGAAAGGAACTTTGACTTCTTTACATTATCATTGAAATAGAGCATGGACAAATAAATTAATCTCTGCAGGACTCAATCTCACCGTTTGTTCATAAGAGCTTATAAAATTTATATCACAGGATTGCTAGTGTGAGAACTAAATAATATGAGCCATCTAGGACAAAAGAAATTGGGAACATTTAATTAATAATGGATATTCTATATAAATAGGTTAGCAGCCCAAAGTCAGTAGGGGAAGGCAGAGAGATGCAGGAGTATTTTTTTGTTGTTATTTTGTTTTTGTTTTTTTATTAAGGTATCATTGATACACACTCTTATGAGGGTTTCACAAGAAAAACAATGTGGTTATTACACTCACCTTTATTATCGAGTTCCCCCCCATATCCCCTTGCAGTCACTGTCCATTACTGTAGTAAGATCCCACAGAGTCCCTGTTTGTCTTCTCTGAGCTACACTGTCTTCCATGTGATCCCACACACACCATATGGACCAATCATGATATACCACAATCCCCTTCTCCCTCCCCCCAACGCACCTGCTGTGCCCCCACAGCTCCCCTTTGGTGACCACTAGTCCCTTCTTGGAGTCTGTGAGTCTGCTGCCATTTTTTTCCTTCAGTTTTGTTTTGTTGGGAAATCATTTGGTACTTGTTTTTCTCTGCCTAGCTTATTTCACTGAGCATAATGCTCTCTAGCTCCATCCATGCTGTTGCAAATGGTAGGATTTGTTTCTTTCTTATGGCTGAATAGTATCTCATTGTGTATATGTACCACTTCTTCTTCATCCATTCATCTACTGATGGACATTTAGGTTGCTTCCATATCTTGGCTATATGCTGCGATAAACATAGGAGTGCATGTCTTTTTGAATCTGAGTAGTTGTTTTCTTTGCGTAAAGTCCTAATAGTGGAATTCTTGGGTCAAATGGTATTTCTATTAGTTTTTTGAGAAACCTCCATATTGCTTTCCCCAATGGTTGAACTAGCTTATATTCTCACCTGAAGTGTAGGAGGGCTCCTCTTTCTCTGCATCCTTGCCAGCATCTGTTGTTCCTAGTCTTTTCTATGTTGGCCATCCTAACTGGTGTGAGGTGACATCTCATTGTGGTTTTAATTTGCATTTCCCTGATAATTAGTGATGTGGAGCATCTTTTCATGTGCCTGTTGGCCATCTGAATTTCTTCTTTAGATAAATTTCTGCTCATATCCTCTGCCCATTTTTTAATCAGGTTATTTGCTTTTTGAATGTTGAGGTGTGTGAGTTCTTTATATATTTTGGATGTTAAACCCTTGTTGGATATGTCATTTACAAATATATTCCCCCATCCTGTAGGGTGCCTTTTTGTTCTGTTGATGGTGTCCTTTGCTGTACAGAAGCTCTTTAGCTTGATGTAGTCCCTGTTGTTCATTTTTGCTTTGTTTCCCTTGCTCAAGGAGATGTGTTCAGGAAAAAGTTGCTAATGTTTATATTCAGGAGATTTTTGCCTTTGTTTTCTTCTAAGAGTTTTATGGTTTCATGACTTACATTCAGGTCTTTGATCCATTTCAAGTTTATTTTTGTGTATAGGGTTAGACTATAATGTAGGTTCATTCTCTTGTATGTAGCTGTCCAGTTTTGCCAACATCAGTTGTTTAAGAGGCTGTCATTTCCCCATTGTATATACATGGCTCCTTTATCATATATTAATTAACCATATATGCTTGTGTTTATATCTGGGCTTTCTAGTCTGTTATGCTGGTCTGTGGGTCTGTTCTTGTGCCAGTACCAAATTGTCTTGATTACTGTAGCTTTGTAGTAGAGCTTGAAGTTAGGGAGTGAAATCCCCCCACTTTATTCTTCCTTCTTAGGATTGCTTTGGCTATTCAGGGTCTATTGTGGTTCCATATGAATTTTAGAACTATTTGCTCTAGTTTGTTGAAGAATGCTGTTGGTATTTTGATAGGGATTGCATTGAATCTGTAGATTGCTTTAGGTAGGATGGCCACTTTGACAATATTAATTCTTCCTATCCATGTGCATGGGATGTTTCCATTTATTGGTATCTTTAATTTCTCTCATAAATGTCTTTTAGTTTTCAGAGGATAGGTCTTTCACTTCCTTGGATAGGTTTATTCCTATGTATTTTATTCTTTTTGATACAGTTGTGAATGGAATTGTTTTCCTGCTGTCTCCTTCTGCTAATTCATCATTAGTGTATAGGAATGCAACAGATTTCTCTATATTAATTTTGTATCCTGAGATGCAGGAGTTTTTGGACATTCTGTTCAAAGAGCAAAATTTAGTAATAGAGCTCAGACTTTGGATTCAAATAAACAAGTTTGTATGTCTGTGTGCCATCTGGGCAAGAGATTAATGCTTAAGGCCACATTTCCTCATCTTAAATATCAGAATATCAATCTTGTGTTACTTTTGTTGAATTAAATATAAATTTGCTAGTGCAAAAAGCATAGTGTGCACATACCTGATTCCTTTTTGTAGATTCTTAAAAATCTGTATTAATTTACAGATTCTTAAGTACAAAAATTTCTGAACCCTTTTTTAAAAAATAAACTATTTTTTAAAGTAGGTTTGTATTCACAGCAGAATTGAGCAGAAGGTATAGAGAATTGCTGTATACTTCCTTCCCCTTCCCCCACATACACAACTTCCCTCATTGTCAACATCTGGCACCAGAGTGGTATGTTTGTTGCAATTAATGGACCTACATTAACACATCCTCCTCCTCCCAAATCCAGAGTTTACATTAACGTTCAATCTTGGCGTTATGCATTCTGTAGGTTTGGACTAATGTGTAATGACAAATATCCATCATCATAGTATCATACAGAATAGACTCACTGCTCTAAAAATTGTCTGTACCTATTCATCCTTCCCTTCCCATTAGCCTCTAGCAATCACTGACTTTTCTACTATCTCCATAGTTTTACTTTTTCCAGAATGTCATACAGCTGGAATCATACAGTATGTAGCCTTTCTGATTCCTTTCTGAAAACTACTTTAATAGATAGAAATAGTGATAAGGACTGTTAGATCTGATTCAGCATCATGAGCCCCAAACATTCACTCTTAGCATCCAGGGGGGAAATAATGAAAATACACTTATAACCACAGTAGACAGCAGAGTACCAATTTACTAATTAAAAGTAACAATTTATTATTCCAGTGATGAGACTAACAAGCACATTCATTTCTTATAGACATTCTTAGATGACAAGTTACATCTTTTTCAAAGCCATTTTCTGCATTTCCCATGAGACATCCCTATCTTGTGAAGTGGAAAACTTGAAATCCATGTGATCACCACTTTTATTTTTTCCTTTAGGCAAACCTATATATGAGGCCAGATCATAATCCAAACTTACCTTGGTAAGCATGAAACCAGTACAAAATGGGAAAGTTGATGAGAGAAAAATTTAATAACATAATGTATCCATTTCATAATGCAGAAG